CGGTTTAGGGCGATGCTGCAGTTCTGCATCTTGATGACCAGGTTTGCTAGAGAACTGGTATCGCCTCTTGTGCGCCTCGCCTCTGCTAGCACCCCGTCAATCATGTTTCGTGCCACTCGCAATGGTTGGCCGAACATCTCCTTCAGTATGCTCCTGGCTCTCGGGTAGCCCACTTCCGGGTACAGCATTGCACACCCTTGTATAGCCTCCTTGGCCTTCCCCCGACAGTAGTGTAGCAAAACATAAACCTTTGCCCTGCATCGTCGGTTTTGCATTCAACGAAATTTTCGTATTGGCGAATGAATTGGCAATATTGTTCGGGATTACCATCCAAAAGTGTCAGATCAACTCTTGGCAAATCAACGTTTACATGGGCATACGTTCTTCCCTGAGGGGCGAATTCTTTATTCGGAGAACAACCACTGTGTGCAGTCTCAGCTCGAGGTGCTGTGCCGTTAAAATCGGTTTTTTCACGTTTGGCCTGTTCTATCTGCTGTCTAGCTAATCTCAACTCATGCTCTAACTCAGAAACCCGGAATCTAAATATATCAATATCCTTAATATCTGAATCTACACATGAAACATCACTGACAGGACTAACAGACCTAGCAGTTTCTAGATAATCACAATGACCCACAGCCCGCCCAGTGACTTGCCGGGTTACTTCCTGTGGTGTTCCAGTTTCCTTGGTTTCTCGTCTGGGCATCTTTAAAATAGTTTTTTAGTTTGATTCCAATGTGAGTACTGTACGTCAACCAATTCACACTTGAGTGACGCGTAGCCGAAACCGATATGAATCCCGAATTAAAACACAATTGATCTGCAATGTTCTACGGTACTGAATTAACGAAGTCGTTACAAATGTACAATAAAGTAATCCTCAAATATGCGGCCGAGAGCACTCAAGCAAGCAAGCCAAAGATGATGTCCAGTCGCTCACTTTCTCTGACCACGTCGAATTCCAATGTGCCGGGCATCGAATTAACAGATAAATAATGGTGTATGGTGTTTGTGATCGAGAAATGCCAATATAGGAGCAACACGCAAATACAGTTATGGCACCTATAATCATTACGGGTTTGGTTGGATTTCCAAAAATTCAGCTTGAATTACAACGGGTATGGCCGAAACCTTTTTTGTCAATGCCGACTGTCAGCGTACCCGAGGTCATAGTTAAAAGATTTTCAAGCTTCGTCCGGGAACAAATCTATATGCTTCATTTTTACCTTCAAGGTGATATTCTTATGGAATGCCTTTCCAGAAGAGATAGTCAGCGCAGCGAGGCGGTCTTCAAAATTCGTCTCGACCGTCACATAGGTTTATCTAAGCACCCAAAATATAGAAAACATTTAAAAAATATTTTGAATTACATGAGAGTTTGCAATTCTTTATTTTACTTCTCGCTTCGAGCAGGGAACACTACTAATGCCTTTTCAGTAATTAAATGAATAAATAACAATGGTATATTTTACAACGAAAGTTGTGAGGCATGCTGGGTTAGACGATCATTTAGTACACCGAATGGCAGAACATTTGGGTCGACAGTAAGTGGGGTTAAAAAACAACGGAACGCGATTTGTTTGCGCCCGAGAAAAAAAAAGAGAACCACAAAACGGTCAGTGGACATTTTGTTCATTCGGGAAATTTATAAAAAGGAAGGTCAGCAATGTAGTACATTTCCGACAGGTTATAGTTTTGTAGATAAGGAGAGTTCAAGACGTAAAGTCACGGAGGCGGAAATGAAACAAATGAAAACGTGTACACATGTCAATGGGTTTGTGTTACTTGGGATCAAGTTTGATCACGGAAGAGAAATGAAAAGTGCGTATACTGGAAGCGGTAAAGATGTCAAACGTTGATCGTGTGGAGGTGGAAAGACACAAGAACCGGATGCGTGCAGCTTTTTGAATGTGCTTTTGTGTGTTCTGGAAGATTTGTGTTTGAAAGAAGATGGTGTAATGAAGTCTTGTCGGTACGACTAGCTTCTGGGTGAAATCACTGTTTAGGCGAGGGTGATCGGGTCAAGACCGGGAGGAGAGGTTTCAGGCCTCTCTGCGTGTGGGCCTGCAACTCAACATTAAGTTTGTTTAGTGAAACGGTCCAGTCGATGGAAGTTTTCACAGTTGTGCTTCTAGGTTTTCAGTTTTCTTCAACGTTACATATCGTAACGATCCGACGAAAGTCACAGTTATTATTGCAGCAGACGATCGCTGGAATAGAAGCCGGAAATGGGAAAAAGTCTAGTTTCGGTTCCTAGCTGATGAGTGGGGGAGAGAAGGAGAGAGCGCATGCATGTTATTGCGCAATCTAGAAGTTTGTAACAGTCACGAAAATGCACTTATGAATAATACCAATAGCGCAGTTTCAAATCATGACCACTAGATAGACCCAGCACTGAAAATATAAATGGGACTGCTGATTCTCGTTTGCTTCTAAGGCGTCACAACACATTCGTCGAGGAAAATATGTACAGGAAGCAAAGGTGAAAATAGAATAGCAACAGAGAACCTGGCTGAAAATTAGAGACATTCAGCTGGCAAAGTGCCAGAGAGAAGAGGATCAAGTAGTTAAGGGAGGTGAGCACTCCCTGTATTATAAACGTTCAGACAAAATGAAAACAGATATCTTTCAAGGATCTGCGACATTAAGGCAACTTCCTCGAACCAATGAATCAATTTAGGACATCAAGACAAGGCAATAATATGTACATTAACAGCGTAGGAATATAGAACATCTAACTAGAAGGTATACACAGCGAGAACGGTGAGGGAGAGCAACGAAAAAGAGTGCGAGAGGGAAACAAAGCGGGCAAGGTCAGTGACGAATATGTGGAAGATGGGGAATGCACTGAATAAGCATGTCAATGGAAATTGACAAAAAGCGAAGTATCGAGAGGATTCGACGTACAACAATAATGGGAGAAAATACGCAGAGTTAGTCTGTGAAACAAATGACGGGTGGGGATGGAGAGACGCGGATAGAAATGGATAGGAAGGAGTATACGGAGTTCATACATTTGTAAAAGTACATGTTTCTCTCTTTGCTGCAACACAGCTCGCTTCTGATGACACATTTATTGAGCTTAGGGGTTTCAATCGATCATGGAGTGATTTAGCTTATTTAGATTGATTAGGCGTTGGTCGCTTTGATGTGGGACTGACTACACGTTAGACAACTAAGCATAAAACGCCTTGTAGGTGAGGCAGAGGGTGTGATCCTCAACCTGGTCTGGAATGCGGACGCATGTAATCAAAACGGTGAAAACAGCCGTGCCCAACAACCATTGCCGGAGCCAAATTGTCTATTGTGGGTGGAGACCTCAGGCCTTCAAGAGGCCCAAGTCAACTGAATCCGGAAAAAGGCGATATCCAACAGTCTGAGGTAATACCCAGCTGAGAACGAGAGAGGGGGAAATAGAGCGTGCAACGAAACAATACTGAATGGAAGTATGTATACATATGAGAAGTGAACTGGGTGAATATGCTCTCGAGCATATTCACCTGCTTGGCTTTCAGTACTCCAATACATCATCGTACTGAAGCAGAATTCAGAAATGAACGTGACCACAGCTAGCCGGTTTGCATGTGCCGCAGAGGGTGGATTAGTGTAAACGAGATCAGAAAACGTTTGAGCATTGAATAAGAAATGACAATACATCTAAGAATATGTACCACAATGGATTGTGTTCACAGTTCCGGCTTTCAAACTGAATCCCTGTAATGGAATTAGTCGGAGCTACCTGGTTAGTATGCGCCATGGATTACGCCAAGTGAATCAACTAAAAACAATATCGGAAACATTTGTAGTATGTAATATGAGGACTTACGCGGATCTAGAAGGGTGAAAATGTGCTTACTTATACTCTCTAAGGTGTTAGACATAAAGAACCGCCTCCAGAAGACAACTCTTTTGGCGTACTGTTGGCCAGTTTCATTGCTGCATCCATTATTACTTGCTGTGAATCCTTAGAGTCATGTTCGCAGTGCAAGCTATTGAGAAAAATGATAAGATCAGAGCTGGTAGTCTGGCAAGCTGCTCGCCAAAAATATTCAGCCTAGCTTTGGGATCAGTTATGTTCAGTTATTACCGGACGATTTGTGGCTCTTGCCAATCGAGCGTCCAGATTTATGTGTTGTCAGCTAAGTTCCTTGGCTTCCAAAACTTCGCCTTGCAATTTTTTCCAAAAGGCAGAATATTGCCGTGCGGTATCACTTTCTTTGTGATTTGGTTATAGGTGGTACTCAACGCTCACCTCGGGAACAACCGCTATCCAACTCTCATCAAGTGCCCTTTGAAAAGCATCCACAGTACTGCAGCTTAACACTTCCAGAGCAAACCGGTTCTACAACGGAATGATTCTGTTAGTGTAAAATATTGCCCTCAGTTGCAACCTTGAGTGGCTTCTCTGCAAACATGGGCCATGTTCCCGCGTGCTTCTATGTGGAACCCAGGAGAATAGGTCCTAAAACCTTGGGCCTGATATACCCTTGATGATAATAAATGTCTCCATTCGGTCTCCTCTTACGTCACCTCCGAGAACGTCTCAGTCCAGCAGGAATCTATGCCGCCTTAAATGCTTTGACGCTGGTACAGTTGACTATTTCTTCAGTCAAATTGTTCCATATAGATATAACCCTGTGTGAAAAGAAGTTAGTCCGAATCTCCATTCGAGCTCGATTCCTTTACAGCTTGAGGCTGTGGCACCTTGTGCAGTGTATGTGCGGTCTGTTGGCGCGCTGTTGAAATTTTGACGTGCTTTGCTTTACTTTTTGTCTCGATCCTAAAAATAATGTTCAGTTGCCAGAAATTAACACTTAACGTGATTTTGCACGGCCTGTGTCCCGAGTTTTCGTTATGAATTGTTTTTCAGCGCTCTTTCCAAAGAGCAGATAGTAACGCCGACCAAAGCTCCGTGCAAAGCCAACTGGATTGATTAGCTTGGTTTTGTGTAGGACTTTCACGTATGGTTTTAACCTACCGTTTTCTTTTATCACTTTTATACGTGTTTATCGCCACACATTAGAAGCTACCTTACAATGATGCAAGTGTTGTACCCCTGTTTGAAGGATAGCGTAAAGGTGGTTAATCGAATCAAATTTAAAACCCGTAATATGTGAGCGTACTCCGGTTGTTCAGGCATAAGGAAAAACCACTGTGTCCTCTTTTGCCGATATAGCTGGCTAGAGTGGGTCTGTAAAATGTGTAAGGATGCGGCCGGGTCAGCGGGTCAGCCAGAGAACAGTAACAAGCTGAGCCGTGAGCGCTCCGTGAAGCCAAAAAGGTCTAAACCGACTGGGACAACCTGGAGAACTTACTCTCGGGTAGGCTCTGCCTAGGAAGAACGGAGGACACAGGGGGAGAGTTTCTGGCAAGCAGTTTTGTCAAGGACCTGGAAGGCAGCAACGGCATCCACACCGCTCAATAAGCCGATCCTTGGGGTGAACCCCAAGGCATGTCAAGATGTAAGGCGTCCTAAGCCGCACCAAGGGTCAAAGACTGGAGCCTGTAGAAGTATCGTTACCTCACAAGGGAAAACAGATGGACTAGAAGAAGAGCTCAGGATCTGGAAAGCAAGTGAGTAGTCTTGAAGTCTCGACATGGTACTCAGATTCGAGGCGTGCGCCCAATAGTCCCATGATGTGAGAGGAGGAGGTAACAGGGACAAATAGGAGAAAGTGGAGATATCTTCCAGAAGATAGAGGCTAATCAGATCTGGGGAAGGATAAGCCTTAGATGTGAGTCTAGCAGGGGTTTGAAGACCCATTTAGAGGAGGAATTCCCAATATCTAGTGGAACTTCATTTCATCCTGAGACAGCCCCGTAAGTGAAGAAATTGGAGCAAATGAATGTTCTGGGTCGGCGTTTGAAGAGTTTTCTTGAATGTCCCCGTATGTGTCCCAGGCTAGAGCGTGTGAAGAAACAGTCACCTAGGCAGGTGTCCATAGTGCGGTAGAAACTGACTGAGACGCCAACTGTGCATATCTGTACGTGGTATCGGAATTCAAATCGCAATAAATCCACGCGGTTTGGCTCCAATCAAACTAGTACGCAGTATAAAATAAAACACCGGAAAATCCGGAGTCGAATTATGTTACTCGCCGTAATTGTACAAATGCAATCGCTTGTTTAAAGAAAAAAGAATGTTCAGTTTATACACAATCGGCACAGATCTGCTGCTGGTAACGGCATTTTTTCTTGAATTGGACTCGTGCAACGGTGAAGAAGACCCAAATATAACCAGAAGATTCAAAGGGGAATCCTGTGGCGTTCCTTTTTGGCTGGACCTTTTCATTATAGTTACTCACATGTGAGTCTGTAGGCCCACACACAGCCACCGCCGGCCTCCATATTTCAATCGATGGTTGAGAAACACCCTCACCTAAACAGTGATACCATTTACAAGCTGGTCGTACCTGCATGAATTTATATACACGTATTTTGCAAACGTAACTATCCACACACATACACAAAACCTTTCAAAAACCCCGACCACTTAGGTTTTGTCACTGTACACCTCTGCATGATCAACGTTTGACATTCTTCATTGTGTCAGACACTCTGTAACCACTTCACGTCCCAGATCGCATCTAATGACGGTTGATCCAATCCATAGACATGTACATGAACTTTCAATGATTCCACTTTTTCCGCCCTGACTTTTTCTTCTTACCAACTTATCCACAAAACTACAAACTGGCAGAAATGGGCTATAGAGCTTATTCCTTTTTGTGGTTCTTTTTGTTTGTTGCGCTTAAACACGATTATCTTACATTGTGCTTTTGGCTCACATTACCTGTCGCACCCCCATTGACCGAAAATTATGCAATTATAAATATGATAATTATGTGTAATATAACCAAAAATATAGAACGTTTTATCAAGGAAACTCATTTGTAAGATGAACAAAACTGTTTGATATGTCGCAAATAAATATAAATGTATTTAATAAATTTTTATACTGAAAAAGCAAACCACATTCGATAATGTTCCCAAATAACATCATCAACACACCGAGTAAAATTTTAATAATAATAGTAAGATAATAACGATAATTAAAAGAATAAGATCCAGTTAAAATTTTTCAAACGCAGTTTAATCTGACTCCAAAATGCTTCCTCGTTATTTGTGTGAACACTATCTGGCGAAATCATCACTATGGCTCACACATGGCTATGTTCAAGAGAACATAAAAACGGTTTTGGCTCATCATTCGATGTACACAATACTCCCTGATTGAATCCATCGTTGAATAATGAATATCTTTTATCAATGTCGACATGGTTCTAAGGTCACAAATTAAAACAAAGGATGCAAAATTACACTTTCTAAAATAGAATCTTGTTAGGAAAATAATTAATTTAAAAATTATAAAACCGTTATCACATTTATTCAAATTTACGGCTTTTCGAAATATGCCATCATAAACGGAATAGCTGAGGGTGCCTGCGGGTAACGTGCGCCGTGCATTTTAACCCAATGAACTCTGTTCACCCCAATGTTATACCCTATATTGTACAATGGGATCCTGAATCCCAGCAAGCCTCAAGAAAATCATCATGAAATATACCATTGCTATTGTCATTGTGATTCTACATACTAAACTGTCCCGCGTACTTTACGGTAGACCAATTGTGGCATGGTTCCATCTGGATTTGGAATAATAGTTATGTCAAGAAACTCCAAGCTATTGTTCTGTTCAGTTCTCATACTGAATCGTTTGTTCGGATATGGTCGGTTTAGACATTTGTGGGTGTAATTGGCTAATCTTTTATGTGGTCCTATTTTATATGCTACTAGACGGGTGCAAAAGGGAAAAGGTTTCAAACTAGCATATAGTCACCTGGGTTGTGGTAATTTGAACGAGATTTAATGGCCACACGTTTCCTAAGAATGATTTCCTACTTCGCAAGTCATTAACCGCTAACCATTAACAATATTAGAAATGGCCAAAAAAGGCGTGATCAAAATGGTTTAATCACAACATTTTCCAACCTCGGCGGAACAGTTGAACTGGAACGATAAAAACAGTAGCACTAATGCTGTAATCCTTGAAATCAGTGAGAAGAAGCCGCGGCTTGTACGGATCAGTTGATTGCGATATAGAGAAGGCCGGCCGGTTGACGGCTGATATTCTCGACTCTGAGTTTTGTCTACCGGGCATGTCACTTCTCAGACGCGATCGTTCAACACGTGGGGGTGGTGTTCTACTTTACTATCGAAGCGATCTCTAGTGCGACGCAGTTGCTCCTCCTGTTTCAGCCCTTGACACAACTTGGTGTAGACTGAGACTGTCGAAGCACGACGATCGTCTTGTTGAAATGATAAAGCTTGGTTTCTATGCTAATTGTTATTTTCATGTTGGATCGTCTGTGAGAGCAAATGCAACTGCATGAGGAGGGAAAAGTCATAGGTAGTCTGGTATAGTCTAGTTATTTCATTAAATTCGTTGCATAATCCATCGAGGTGGGAGGGGGTCGATGAATATGTAAGGNAAGGTATCCAGGGTTAGCGAGAGGAGGCAGTTAGAAAGTTTCTGGTAAAGTATATCCGCTGCAGCTTGTGGGTTGAAGGAAAGGAAGAAGTCAGTCCAATCTTGGAAGTGAATCAAACGGGGTAGAGAAGACCAATCAGTAATAAGCGATGGAGCCTTGGCTATAGGACGGCTCAAGTAAAAAGGCGCATTTCATCATTTTATGTTCATTACCTGGGAAGTGGTCCAGGGTAGATGTCTGAGATACTTTTAGGTTTTTTGTGAAAATTAAGTCCAGAAGATGGTTTCTTCTAGTGCCAGATTTCACATGCTGTGTCACGCCACCAGACCTAATGCTAGATAAGAAAACAGTGGGTTGTTAGGTGCTGTTGAGGAGGACCAAGATATACTAGGTGTGTTGAAGTAACCTGCTACAAGTACGGGTTCTGGTGCAAGGTCCGCCAGGTAGTTGAAGGCGTCAGATATAAAAGAAAAGCCATGGGGGTTTCAAGGGGGGCGATAAATACAACCAATAATCCTGGTTTATGAGTGACATGTGAAGCCTAACCAAATCGATTCCTGTAGGTTGTCTAAAATAGAGCTGTTTAATACAGTAGCTTCTAGAGGGGCTTGAACATATACACGGCAACCTCCATCACGGCGGTATTGCCGGTCTTTCTTAAAGAGTTTGCACCCAACCGAAGAGATGAGCGCTGCGGAGTAGTTCCCCTGTAGCCAATTTTCAGTGATCGTAATGACATCTAAGGAACTAGTGCGTGCAATATGTTTTTGTGATACCATTTTATTAATCATCGAGCGGGAGTTAATTAGAAGAAGTGAGAGGTTAGAGGGACTATTCAGGGAGAGGTAGGTAGGGGGGTCTGTACATTCAGGGGCGTTGAAGGCTGATTTTGGTATGGGTAGCCTCAATAATTGAGCCAAGCAGCGGAAGTGGGGTACGGGGGAGTAGGAGGCGGGAGAGGGTGAACATAGTCACCCAAGGGAGGTTTATAAGTACCTGAGGAGGGGAAAAAAATCGGTAGAGCGGATAGAGGGCTAGCAGTGGGGGAAGAGATGGAGGATAGGGTAGATCGGCAGCAGCCGTTTGGAGTTGAGGTGAGGGTGGTTGGACGGCGTGTTTTGTCTTTAGGAAACTGATTGGAAGTAGGTCAGACAGGCGTGAGAATTGGCGATCAAGATTCATATGTGACATCAGCCGACTAGCTCCCACGAGGATGGGAGTGGTGTATCTAGTAGAACAACCAGGTATGCTAGAGGGCGCGGGTAAAATGTTTGGGCGCTCAGATGGGATGACGCAACAGGTGTCAACTGACCCTGGGAACCCCCGCTCACTTTTGGAATGGGTTGGAGTCACCCTCTGGAAAGGGGTTCTGTCAGGGTGAATTTTTATGGTTATAAATGGGAGTTTTTGTAATGATATTACACTTGGAGATGAAATCCTTTGCTAAGACATCGTTAGGGAATTCAAACAGTAGGGGGCAAGCCGTCTGAGGCCAGCTGGGAGGCGTTAAGGAAAGAAATAGATGATTTAAAGGCACGAATGGCGAAGATGAAGGCCATCACCGAAGGGGTCTTTGCAAGGTGCAGAAGACTTCTGTTGCACAGTTGTGCGGAACCGGTGGTAAACTAGGCGAAGGCTAGACGGGAAATAAGTCAGAGGTAT